AAATTCTGATCACTTAATTATTTGATTATTTAATATTTTCCTCTAATTTCTTTGGAAATTAGGATTTTCCTAAAGGCAGATAGTACCATGCATTCTTACATTCTTTCACTGTCAGACCTCAGTATACGTCTGCAATCTAATATAATGTCATCTTACCACTGAAAAGTCATAATCTTAGTTAGAGTCTATGATATATTTCCCAGAAAGAGTGAAAGTAAGGGATAAAAGGTAGTGATACATGGGGTGGGGGGAAGGAACCAAGGCGAATTCCGATCATAGCTGATAAGATTTCATTGAGAACTATCCTTCTTCTGTATTTTCACTTCTTTTCCACTAAATTGGTTTATTAAGCAAAAGAAACACCTAGCCACACTCTCCCCCCACCAACTCGTTCCCTTATAAAGTGAACCTGGGTCCAGATACATGCAGTTGGAACTCAAGTAAATCAGTTACAGAGAACACGCATGAGATTAAGAAGCACGTTTCTTCTATTACCTTGTAGTTGAGACCTAAATTTCTGTAGGATTAATTCAGATTATTTTAATATTGTAAGAAGTATTTATCCCTTAATTCATATTTTCTTCTTGGAAAATGATACCCATATGGATTTTATTTTTCCTTACACTCCTATCAACTTTAAATATGAAATGCTGTGTTTCTAAAGTTTTAGATAAAATATTTCTCTTTTGTTGCTAGAAGGCACTCATGTCTTCTGTGCAATCTCTATGTTAATGTTCATGAACCCTTGGTATTACTACACATCAAAAAAAGTTAAAAAGTAAATACAGCATTAGGTGGAAAAATATATACTTCTTTGATTCACTTTGGGTATCATGAGAATCATATAGAACTAAATGTCTTCTTTCAAAACTATAAATATAATGAAATCCTTTAAAACCTAGCATATGCTGCTTCAAATGAGACTCAGTTTTGAACAGATGTCCCCTTAGACCTGTTATATTAAGACTAAAATTACTAAATCAGCATTAGATGTTTTTAAACTTAGAGCCATATTTTGCCACTGATTTTTATTCAAAGCTCCCACAGGCGTCAGTGGAAGATCCATGCATGGAAAAATGGCATAATATGTATCCTAGTTTTATTTATTTCGATGTATACAGCAGTATAAAATAATTTATTACATTTACACTCATTTTACTTATGTATTATTATAGCATTCACAGTAACAAACACTATAGTTAAGATTGAAACTCATCTTTTGTTATAATACCCTGTTTTCACTCACAGATAACTGTCTCGAAAATGTGCTTAGAGCTGAAATTCCCTGCTTACTTTCAGCTCAAGCATGTATGAATATATTGGAAGTCTGAGTTCTATCATTCAGAAATTTTTGAGTCTCATGTGAAATTTAATATATTTTGCATGATGAATGCAAGATTTTTATGCAACTCAAAAACATCTGGAGAGTAAAACTTCAAACTAAGCATGTGACAAGTTTTCAAGAAATAAAAGCAATTTTTCTAATTTTACAAATACTTAAAAAATAACAGTGATTAGAAATACATGCATGCACACTAAAAGTATTAGAATTTTAGTCTTATTATTGCCTGCAATACTCTGGCGACACCCATCTACCTGCATTCTTACAGAATGCTATAATCTAAAACCTACGCCAAGATTTGAAAAAAAAAATATTCTACTGAACAGTTTCACAAATTACTGTATAAGGATTTTGTCTGACTTAGCAGAGGGATGTTTCTTTAAGTACCAACAATATATAAAATAATTTTACTACTCCATGGTGTAAAAAATATGGAACTTTGTTATTTTCTGTTTTTCCTTGTTAAAAAGGAACATAAAAGGATGTTAAGTGCAAAGCCTTTACCACTACAAAATTAGACTTGAAAAAGATAAAGAACCCAAGAAATTGTAATATGAAAAATATAAGATTTTCAGAAAAATCATCAAGTATACCAATATTTTAAGTATTTTTGAGTTCCTTGGGTATCAATAACACACATGGAAATAGGAGGGGAAAAACACATCCAATGACAAATAACACTGCTATGATCAGTAAATAACATAAATACTCTTCTTGATCTTGCTGAACTTTTGCCACATTCTGCCTGAGTAATTGTTTTCCAGATTAACTGAAATTCAGTAAATAATGCTTAGAGGGTAAAATGATACAATTAATGTACAGTTGTTAAACATGTATGTTGAGAATTGTGAGATTATTTTTCCTCTTCTTACTGAAGAAGCAAGATAGCTTCTACAATACAGAGCATCTGAGGGCAAATGACAACCCAATTAATGACTAAAACAATGAGAAATTAAAATATTTAAATATTCTACTATAGTTCTTAATTTGCAATGTTTGATAAAGGCATTGCATTTAATATCTTTGTAAAATAAAATAAACACGTTTTCTTAATATTTGCCAAGAAAAGATGATACACATATCATTGACATTATATCTGTGAAGTAATTCTGATGTGATATTTAAATTTAATTTAACATGATTTCACCAAACTACGTTCACACGTTAAAAATTAGAATTCTACACGTGGATAAAATATTTCTAAAAATTGTCGTTTGACATACCTTTGAAACATTAAGACACTGTTTCCACAGGAAAATTTTTTTGACTTTGACTGCTCTAAAACTAACCATGTTAACAAGGAGTAAATGACATGATTATGTTTTTTTTCTGAAATAATTTATTGATGAAATACTGTCTAATAAGATGGATATTATTTTTTGATGTGTATAAAATTATGTAAGATTGGATATTAGAATGACCAGATTAAATAGAAAGCCTATTCTAAAATTCCTTGATATATTAATCTAGTAAATGTTTAATTAGAAAACTTCAATATTTGTTGGTTGCTATTTCCATTTTATAGTCCCTCTTATTGGAAGAAAACATTTTAACTAACTTACTAAAATCATATCCTTACTCTGCTGTAACTTCTAATTTACTTTGGTTGCAACAGATAGTTGACTAATGACCTAATAATTTAGCATTTTATCCTTAAACAGTTCTATTTGTCTCCCAAATTAGGAATAAGCTCTGGTTTTGGTTTTGCAGATTGATGATATAATTTAAGAACTAAAATGTAGGTTACTATAACTAGTTACTAGGACATATGAAAATAACAAATACATAAAGATATGATATAAAAAGTTGTTTCAAGGGAGATTATATACAATGATATAAAAGGTTAAATAATTAAAGAAAATATCTTTGAAGTAAATTACTTAATATAATCACTATATATGAAGTAAGTATAATCTTATTTTCAATGCATGCAATAAGGAAGATGGATGTGGATATTCACCCATGATTGCAAAATGATGCATGAAAGATTTTAATTAAAAGAGTGACTCAACAAGAAAATCATTTTCTTGTTAAAAAAAAAAAAGAATTGGAACAAATAGACTTTTTTCCCAGTTAAATTATTTATAAACATTTTCTTACTAAAATAGTTTATCATTCAAAATATTAATGTAGTAATGTCAAAAGTGTGAGAAAATGTAACTGCTGCACTTAGTGAATTGATGTTCTTTTTGTATTACATATGATCAGTTAGCTTCATATATGTTTAAAGAGACTTCAAAAGGCTGGAACATTATATACATTATTTGGATATATGAACTGATTGGAATATGATATGTTAATATCTAATTTGATAACAGTCAAATGAGTGATACCAATCTATCACTCTAAATGTACACATCAAGTATTTATTAATATGTGTGTGTGTGTGTGTGTATATATATGTGTGTGTATATATATATGTATATATATGTGTGTGTGTGTATATATATATATATATATATATATGCATTTTAATGTTAAATCTAAGGAGGAAATTCCACTTAAGTTACATTAAATTGGATGAAGAACATTTGTTAAGTGTTAAGTTTTAGTCTATTCTTTAATAACACAGTGCAGCTCAAACTGTCATTGAATATAAGATTAGTTAAAAATTAAGGGAAGTATTTCAAAACAGATTTCTAATTTGGACTGGGCAAACATTTTGATATAATGTTGAAGGTTTGATATAATGTTTTAGAGGGTTAGGGGCGCTGTTACAATTCTTTTTTTTTTTTTTGCTTGAAAGATTATCTCACATTCTCTCTGATTTTTTTTTTCCTCTCTTGAGTGTGTTCTAATGAGCCATAAACAACAACAGAAAAAATATCTAAAGGAAAGTGTACCTTACTCAATTTAGTAATTTATCTTGTTGACATAAAAGTAAAGACAAGCTTAACGTTTGAAGGCTGACTCATGAAGAATTTTTTCATTAATAAAACACTGACTACATTTAAGCTATAAAATTTTCACATGTATTACTGAAACAATAATGTACCATGTTTCTATCTCTGAATTTATTTAGTTTATTTTAAATTTAGAGATCTTTCATATTTTATAGTTATTCTTTATCAGTTCAGATGTTTATGTATCTCTATATATTCATACAGAGTTATAAATAGATTTTATATTTGTGTGTAATTTAGACACAAAACTATGTAAAACTATGTAAAATAAAATTCTGTGTAAGTTACATGACTGATGACTTCTTAAAATAGTAATCTTCAGTTACATATTTTACACCACAAAATGTACAGACACCCAGTTTTTTTTTTCTAACAACAAATACAGGTGAATTTATCGACTCTTTATAAAAACTTTAAGTGATTCTAAATTCAAAGCCATATAAATAGAATCAGACTCATGTAGATTGTTGAATATTTTGATAGTACATAGTCAGTGCTCTGTCTGATCACATCAACAGCTGCATCTTTGGCATTGAAAATTCAGTATGAGTTCTTGACAAAATTTTGTAGCTTAGAGCATCATTTTCTTTTACACAAGGAAAAACAGGGTTGAGTAAGATATGAAAATTGGGAGAAAACCATTAATGATTTTTTTCTAGGTAAGTTTGTCTTTGGGACCCTGAATTACCTTTTATTTTATTGTATGATGTGGACTGTATGTATCCATTTAAAAACCAACTGAGTTGTACCACATTTTAGGAAAATTATATAATATAATATATATATTTTATATTTATTTAGAAGCTTTGAAATAGTACAGTAAACACTTTGCAACACGGTGTATAAACTACAGAATGTCTTTGATATTTTGTGGGTCTTCAGAATACAACATTTTTTTATAACCCACAGGTGAAAAGAACATAATCACAATTTCTCTTGTAAAGTTGGAATAGTTTGGGGAACACTTGATCACACAAAAATAATATAAAACAGTCAAGTTTAAAACAGTGATATTGCATTTATAATGCACAAATTTCCTTTATCTTTATGACTGGCTTCTCGTGGTGAATATAAACATCTAAAGGGCTCAGTGACATTTGGAGAGAGAAAGATATATAGTGCTGTAAACAGGCACACACTGATCGGAGAGGCAAAATCAGTTGCCTCTAAAGTTTCTACAGTTCTGCACATTTCAACTCATTTCTCAGGCCTGCTGAGAGCAATTAGGTCCTATAATTGGCCATGATGACTCCTCCTGAAATCTAATACTCAGTTACATATGACTAACTGGATGGCCAAGATAATGAAGTTGAAAAGTTGATGCTTTTGTTGGTCGACTTTGTGCAAATCATGCTGCTTCAGGTAAGTCCTGTAGAATTGACTAGCATATCCTTTTCCGTGCTGTGAAAAAGAAAGAAAAATACTCTAAGAAAAAGAGGTCGACTTTTGGAGTTTAGAATTACATGTTATTGTAAAAAAAAGAAATACCATTAGAAACTAGTTGTACCCTCATACCAAACACATGTAGTGTCATAGTGTCATACTTTTTCACTGCTAGTAGTCACTGTCATTTTGTTGTTTCATTTTCTGAAAATGGTAACTTTTATATTCTTATAGATTAGTTTTGCATGGGGAATGTATATTTTATATACCAAAGACCAAATTTGTGAACATTAACTATTTAAAGTTATCTAAAACAATCCCTACACTTCACTATTTAGGTACAGAGTATAGAAAAAAATGTGTGGCCCTTACATTTCTAGAAATAGTCTCTAGCAAAATCTACAAGTAATTTGTTTTACATTTAATTTCATAAACTATAAATTGTATGTATTAAGCCAATATATATTACAGAAAAGTGTACCAGGAAGTGTTAATGTAGTTAAACAATTTATAGATGACTCACTTTTCTAGGTTTATTAAATCTCATTCATTAAATCATAAAACCAAGTCTTTTTATGGCCGATATATTTTTTTAAAGCACTATTTATAATAATTTGTTTTCTCATAAAGGAATTAATGAAGGCAAAGGGGGAAAAGATATTATCAAATTTGGTCCATTTGTATAAAATATATCAAATATAACAAATAACAAAGCAGAATGCCCAGATTTGATTGCTCCAATTTCATAATTTTAAGTATTTTGTTTACCTGTATGATAAATAGTATTTCTTCCCTTATCCATAAATTTCATAATATTTGACCAAAAGCACAATGAGAGCAGAAGTTGTGTCATATAAGTAAGTATCTGGCACATAACAGACATATAATGTGCTGAAAATAAAGACGGTTGAATTTAGATAAAAGTTTCATATATCTTATTAAAAATTACAAAGTACCTCAAATAGCAAAACTGAAATTATTTTAATCTCACAAATAATTGCTTTTTTAAAAACAAAGATAAGAACACATTGATCTCAATCTTATTCTCTGGTATTTCAACTCATTTCAAAATTATCTATTTATCTGAATTTATTTTTCCCTACTTACTTATTTTTCCTCAGAAGCTCTGTTTCTGACCATGAAACAGTTCTTCACTAGTCCACATTTAGCAGGCACATCAACTAAAACCATAGCAGTCGGCCTGGTGAGCTGGCTCAAACCTATAATCCCAGCACTTTAGGAGGCCAAGGTGGGTGGATGGATCAACTGAGATCAGGAGTTTGAAACCAACCTGGCCAATGTGGAGAATCCCTGTCTCTACTAAAAAATACAATAAATTAGCTGGGCATGGTGGCGGGTGCCTGTAATCGCAGCTACTAGGGAGGCTGAGGCAGGAGAATCACTTGAACCTAGGAGACAGAGGTTGCAGTGAGCCCCCAGTTTGTGCCATTGCACTCCAGCCTATGTGACAAGAGCAAAACTCTGTCTCGAAAAAAAAAAAAAAAAAAAAAAAAAAAACCATAGCAGTCAGGCACCATCGTCACCATCATCAACAGAAATGAAAGTGAAAATAAATATCTAAATTTATTGTGTAGCATAATAACTAGTATTGAAAGTAATCAGAGCATATTTTATATGATATCAAGAATTATAAAATGAATTACTGACAATATTGTACAACATGGTAGCCATTATAACCAGGTCATAATATTCCAGAGGATATTCTACAAGAAAATGGAATTATTATTTTAATAGAATGAAATCCTATTTTTCTGTGTCCTTGAGTTCAAGCTGTTTCATGAGAAACTTACATGTGAAATAATTCAAATAAATTTGTTTACACCAATCAGAATTGAAAATTATTCAATAAATTAGAATAGTGAAACCATTGAAGTCCAAACTGATCAAATGAATCAGAGGAAATCATTAAAGTCACCAAATAATTTGTTGTCCAAACTGGACCCACTGGTGAGTGAAAAGAAGTGCTATTATTAATTATACAAGATTTTGTGCTTTTCTGGACAATCCAGGAAATATGGTCATCTACAAGCCGTATTACTTTTTGCCAAATAAGCTGGGTTGGGGCCTCTTTTAAAAAATAGTAACAATTAGAAAATGCTGATTTAGAGGAAATATTCTTTTCTTACTTTAAGGACAAAAGAAACTCAGGAGTGACCTATACTTAACTTATAAACTAATTCATTATGTGAAAAAAACTAATATAGTGAAAAACAACATCCTAATAAAAATTCACAAAGCAGTCAACCTAGCACATGTTTAGAGTAATAAAATATCATTTCTAGTTCACTTAAAAGATTACCTATGGCTTAAAAGCCACTAATATAGATATTATATGTTCCCTAGATTTAGTTAGGATGCAAAAAGAAATTGTTTCTTTTTAACAAAAGAAATTATTTAAATGGTTCAAGTTAGAAGAACACAGAAGCTTAACACATGATATACTAAATATCTTAAATATAAACATAAGCTTAAAAGACATTTTAATGCTGGTTAGAGTTACAGGTTTACTTATTTAAAGTTCACCTATTCTAGTCATTGTCTGAATAATATAATCACCTTTCATTAGATTTACTTCCTTCCACCTATGCATTAATTCAGTCATGCATATTTGAATAGGAGAAATATAAGATCTGAGGTTAAAGGTTAGAACTATTTAGATTGAGGAAGATTTCCTCCATGTCAGAAGCTAATCTTACATTTGTGAAGAGTGTGAAGAGTTCTCCCTCAGTATCTGTGAAGGCCTAGTTTCAGGGTACCCCAGAATCCAAGGATGCTCAAATCTCTTATAAATGTCCTGTGATATATGCATATGTCCTACGGATGTCCTCCTAAATATGTTAAATCATCTTTAGATTACTTAGAACGTCTAATATAATGCCTAACACAAGGCACATCTCTTCATTCACGTATATTCAAGGTAGTACTCAGTGCATGGCAAATTCAAGTTTTGCTTTTTGAAACTTTGTGAAAATTTTTTGCCAAATATTTTTAATCCACAGTTGATTAAATCCACAGACAAGGAGCCCAAGGATACAGAGGAGCCAACTATCCTATTCTAGCCAAACTAGAAATAGTTTATACTATTACTAATGTTTTGGTCACATCCACTTTATTTCAAACCTTTTAAGAGTTGAGTTTAAATACTGAATATCTATTATTCTTGGTGGGGCACAGTGGCTCATGCCTCTAATTCCAACACTTTGGGAGGCTGTGGCAGGTGGATCACATGATCCAAAGAGTTTGAGACCAGCCTGACCAACATGTAGAAAGCCCATCTCTACTAAAAATACAAAAGTTAGCAGGGTTTAGTGGCAGAGGCCTGTAATCCAGCTACTCTGGAGGCTGAGGAATGAGAATTGCTTAAATTCCTGAAGTCGAGGTTGCAGTGAGCTGAGATCCCACCACTGCATTCCAGCCTGGGAGACAGAGCAAGACTCTGCCTCATAAAACAAACAAACGAAACTTATTGTTCTTTTAGGGTTGTATGGGCTAATGTTGGACAAGTAACAAGCAAATATTATCTGACACTTCCCCCCCCCCAAAAAAAAAATAATTGATTACGTTTTAGAGCCAGTGCCAGGACGATTATTCCAGTGTTAAGTAACATGGCTATACATTTGATGATGCATTCCAGGTTTGGCAGAATGAGTCAAATACACACAGAATCTCTATGCCTTCTAATATGGTCCATGTATGTTTTGAAATTATCAAAGCATACTTGGAGAATTTCTTTGTCTTTTTATTTCATAAAAGCATTTTTTTCTTGCTATGCATCAGCTTGCAGGGAATTGGTCACTCTTTAGGAAAGAAGGTTTTATTTTCAGTCAAATGAAATCAGAAGTAATAGGAAAAGGACTGTGTTTATTTTAAATTTCATTCATTCGGTGCATTTATTCTTCATAGTGGGTCATAAATGCTAGATTAAGATACTTATCTTAATATCTAAACTATAGGCGAAAGCTTATCCTTAACATAAAAGACAATCACAAATATCTACCTTCTCACAAATTGGCATAGATATAATTTTTAATAAAAGTTCAATGGTGTATATTTTTCTTTATATTGTGAAACCTTATTTTTGCCTTTTATAATTTGCAACTGAGAGTAAGCTATGAGAAAAAATTAAATACTTTAAAAAATTAAAATGTTAAGGTATTAAATTGACTAATGACTTAAGACAAAAGACTGTCACATGTTTGTTGCAAAAATAATTATAAAATTGTCTGTACTGACATACTATTTATTGTATATAATTGCCTGGTAAAAATTATTTTATATAATATATTAAAATAAAAATTTAATGAATGGAATATTCACATTGTCAAACTTGCAAAAGAGGAAAGAAAATACTCTTTATACTTTATTATTGCATAAACCACAGAAACTAGAGCAATACATTAAGTTTATGAAATAAGCTAATCTATTTCAGCAATTTAAAGAAAGGACACTCTTCGAATATCTCTGAGGCTTGAGACTGTCTACTACAGTGAAAAATTTCCAGAAGCTGAGATCAGTAACTTACTCCAGAGCTTATTCAAGTGTTCAATAATTTTCATCATCAGGACACTTCTTTACATATAAATGCATCTAGCATACAAGAATTTGAACCCATTACCCCCTGTGGAAGGCAGAAACAGCTGCTGACTGTAAAAGCACATCACAGTCTTCAGGATAGTTTTAAAGTGAGCCTCCACTAGAAATTTGTACGGTTAAATAATCCATTATTTTAACTTTCCTCTGTCTTATTCTTCAGCCACCTTTAAGGGTTCCCTTTAAAATCTTTTTGAGTTTTAGTTTCTGTTTAACCTTATATCCAGAAATGAGCACAGTAGTGTTAACCATTAAAAGAGGGTAACGGCTTGATTTTTCATTTACCTTCCATTTGAACACTCATATTTGCTTTAATTTTTGAAAATATAGCTGTATATTGTTTGGATTTTAAATCACATCTTTTTCTCCCCAGAAATTATAGATTAGATTTTAAATTTAAATATGTA